GCCGTCATCTTCTTTTTTCCTGGAAAAATTCTCTTGGATTGCCACGGGCGATGAGCCTCCTCCACACCCTTCCTATTAGGCGGAAATCATTGTCTCCTCCCGAAAGAATTCACGCGTCGCCGCTATCTACACAGTACATTCCAGCCATGGCATTAGCGTGCTTCACAGCATTCATCGAGAAGTATCTCAACAAGTTTTTTCTTAAGGACAATTCAGCGATTATCCAAGGTATAACTTCGTCAGAATCTCTCCACACGTAAATTTGTTTTTGTTACAGAGCAACTTGCTGTTTTCAATCATCTCCTTGCATTTGTGGATGCGAAGCTGTACACTCGCTTAGCTTCTATGGATTTTTATCCAGAACTCTTTGCAATTCCATGGTTTCTTACCTGTTTTGCACATGTTCTACCTATACACAAGCTGTTTCATGTTTGGGACCAACTGCTGCAACGGGACTCCTCTTTTCCTCTGTTTATCGGTAAGACTAATGCCATCTTGTAGCATCTTTTGATTTGATCAGTCTTTTGTGCTTACTTCTTGCTTGGTAGGACTGGCCATACTCCATCAACTACGCCAAACTCTCATTGAAGCTTCTTTTAACGATGCAATACTTCTATTTTCCGATCTTCCAGGTTCGCGTTACGGTTCTGCCTTTGATTCGGTATAAGATACGTGTTCTCTAGATCTGTCAATGGAGGTTGTGGTAGCAGAATCTATTGCATATTATGATCGTGTTCCACCCAGTTGTGCATTTCGATCACACGCGTATATCAACAATACAGGTATCCTCGTTGTTTCAGCATATCATCTGTTGCGTAGCTGCCTCACTAATCACACTGTTATGCCGAAGCGTGACATCAGACACTTTTCTGAAAAACCTTGTGGGTTTTCAGATTAACGCACCATGCTCAAATTTCAAAGACCTTTGAAAACTCACTTCTATTTAAAAACAAGTTATTGCTTTTATGACCCACGAACTACTTTCAGAATCGCCGCCCCTTGAATCCCCTCCCCCTCCACTACTGATATTTCAAAAAATGGTTTGGGAAAGCAACACAGAAAGTTTTTCATAAGGGTCCGATGTCAACCACGAAACATATTCTGCTGTTTTTCCAAATTTTCGGCGCACTTATAACCCCGATCCCGTTGCTCATCCTCGCCGCCTCCCT